GGGTGATAAGGCAGAGTGTGTGCTCAGTAAGTATCGGTTCCTTCCCACCTGAGAGCGCTGAATGGCCTCGGGTGGCTTCACTGCCCACCATCGGGGCCAGTTCAAAGTCATTGGGTGGGAGCATTTCATTCACTGAGGTGGTGGCACTCGGGGTGATTAAAACAGGCCAGCCTGGGTCAGTGATTCCCAAATGCTCACTAGCTATTCAGAATGGCCTGGCAGATCTGTATGTTCTGAAAAACAGTGTTTCCACAATGGTTTGTTGTTTGACTACTGTACGTGGCAGAACCAAGAACAGCACGATGCCATTGTTTAAACAAAACAAAACCACATCTACCTTAAATCCTAAATAATACAGATTCTAAATAACATTAGATAGATGAGGCAATGAATGCTGATCTAGAAAGTAATAAAAAGGAACATATGTCCATGTAGACATCTGAGGGATACAGTTAAAGCTGTAGAAAGAGGAAAACGTATAATCTGACGGGCCTTAATTGTTATAAAAAGAGAAATAGATACTAGATTGTCAGTCAGATGTATTAATGATCTTTAAGGATCACTTTTAGCTTACACACTTTTGTATTGCTTAAGGTATTTTTTTTTATAATTAAAAGAGATTCCTTTGACAGTTTCCCACTCCTATAAAAAATGAAAATATATAACCACAAAAAGATTTGTACATCAATGCTCATAGAAGCTTTATTCCAAATCGCCCCAAACTGAAAACACCCCAAATGTCAACAGGAGAATGGATAAATAAACTGGTGCATCCATATAACGAAATACTACTCAGCGATAAAAGGAATGAACTACTGATACACACTGAACAGCATGGCTGGATCTCAAAAACACAAGGTAGAAAGAATCCAGACACAAAAGAGTCTGTGCCATTCAAGGCCATTCTAGGCTTAGCCAAACTCATGTATGGTGATGGAAATCAAAGCTGGTTCCCTTTGGGAGGGGAAGGCACAGATAACTTTCCGGAGGAACTGGAAACGCTTGGTATCTTCATCTGGGTGGTGGTTTACACAGGTGTAACCACCTGCGTAATTCGCCAAAACTCATCAAACTGTAACAAAAATCTTTGCATTTCATTGCATGTAAATTATAGCTCGACTTAATTTTTTTTTAATCACGAAAAAAAAATTTTTTAATATAGATTCCCAGGATCCACCCTCAGAGATGTTATTTAGTATCCAGGCCAGGCCTGGATTTGTGAAAAGTAAGCCAGGTAATTCTGATACATGACTAGAAGTACTGCTGCTGGGCCCTGGCCCCTACAACAACCCCCCACCCCCACCCCCCTTTATTATTTGAGTGATTTGTGTGTTGGTTTTTACAAGAGAGCTGGTTGATCACCAAGCTTTAGAAGCATAACAATGTTCATTCTCTCTGCCCTCCCCCACCACCCCAACCCCTGCCCTCAGCTCAGGTTTCCAAATGAAGCCTCTGACCAGGTGAGATGAGAAGGGGAACCCCAAAGCCCCGTCTAGGACAGACATACTTCACCCTAAAGAGGCCAGGGCTGCACGCTCCCAGGGAGGTCTAAGCCAGTAAGTTAATGGCCTGTGTACCTGTTAAACAGCATGTCCAGGCCTTCACCCTGTGTTTACAAAAAGAGCTCAGGGCAAAATTCACTGGCATAGAAAATGCTTTGTGCCCTGACCAACAGTTACTGGGCCATCCTTGGTTTTCTACACCTCCGCCTAATTCCTCACTCACCATCAGGGGTCTCCCAGGCTCGGGGGTTTAACTGGCTTCTCCACCGCTGTCCCTAAATCCAAGCTGATGCCATTTCTATCTCAGCAGCTCTCAGAATAAAGGCCAAGCCCTTTACCTAGCACTCAAGGCCCTCCACCAGTTCTTTTCTCCAGCTAGGTCCCTGAGACCTAGGTCCCTAGGTCTCACCTACTGTGCCCTCTGCCGGTTAACACTAGCCCATCCTGTTCCTCCATTCTGAGGCCAACTCCAAAATCACCTCCTCTAAGAAACTGAAGTTCCACCTGCCTACAACCCTGCCATCAATGCACACTGAGTCCTCACAGCACCCCATGGTCATAGCAGCTGCCACACTGTCCTTTCTCCTCCCCGCTTTGAGCTCCTCGAAAGCCAGTGCCTCACCAGAACTAACCTTAGCAAGGCTTATTAACCAACTAAATGAGACGCATTTAAAGGGAGCTCTCATTCACATTGGAAGGCCACTGAGCATTTCCACATCCACAGCTCCTCCCCAGATCCCATTAATTCACACAAACACTTTGGCCAAGGTAAGTTGGCCAATGCAGAGGAATGAGCTGCAGCTCCAAAGAATCTGAGTCTCGCTTGTGACCTTTTGCAGAAATTGGGGATCAGCCCACACTAACTGGGGTAACCCCGGGGGCTCCAAAAACAGCCCTAATTCTGACCCAGGCACGCTCCAGCTGCAGCCAAGCTGCATTCCAGGGGCTCCTTATAATTCATTTTTCAGCTCTATATACAGGAAAACGTTCAATGACTCAAGTGTCTTATTTCGGGACCTTTGGAAAGACTTTCAGGTAAGTGTAGTTCCCAAGCCCTTTGACAGGTTGACAGGTGAAAAACTGGAGTTAGACAATGCCACCCATGGGGTCCAAAGTGCATAGGAAAAGTGGCAGGGCGCCCAGAGAGGGTACAGAGAAGGGGAAATGGATAACCAGGGACAGAACTGAGATGCCAATGCGTTCCACACACTCAGCCTCTAACCCTGAGGACTGGGGCACCTTTGACTCTTGTTTTCCCCAGTCCTGGTCCAATTCCAACTCCCCAAGATATTAGTTCCTCAAACCCCACAGAGCCAAAACTCACAGCTGGCCAAGGGAAAGACTTTGAAACCTCATCCTACCCCTGTCCAATCAACCTGCTGTCCTCAAGGCGGCTCTGTTTGCTCATCTGCAAAATAGGCACTACCCACGGGGGCCTCCCGACTGCAAAGCAGATGTGACCCAATCACAGCAGGATGAGCTCAAAGAGAAGCATCAGGGGAGGTTGACTGCAACTGTGTCACAGGTCTGTACAAGGGTATCTCTGAAGGGCAAACGCTTGAGGGTGCACCTTAGCCTTATCACATACCACAGTGGCCTGGGACCTTGTGGCACCTCTAATCAGCAGCTCTGAAGCCTAGCTCAGCTTTACAGCTTACCACGGGCTTACTCAGCCTCATCTCCCTCAATCCCCTCAAGGACACAGTGAGGCTGGCACTGACGTCCTTGCTGCCTTCGGCCCAGGGAATCACCCAAGGTCACAGGCCAACTAAGACAGGACTTGAACTCAGCTCCCTCGGGACTAGCTCCTGCCTCGCAGATTCTGCTTGCCTCAGAACCATTCTACTCCATTTTACAGATGAGTTAACTGAGGCCCCAAAAAGGTTGCCCAAGGTCAAGCGGGGGCTGAGCCAGGCCTAGGACCTCTAGTCATTTTACCAATCCCGCCCTGTGGTGGGTACTCATCAGCCACTGCCCTCAGGCTCCCTCTAATCCCCCTTTCCAACACCATCCTGATGAAATCTGTCCTTCCCCACTCCACCCCCATACCTCTTCATGCCCACCCCACACTCCCTGAATGACTCCCTGGTTGAGAGGGAGGCAGGCGGTTGCTAAGTGCTCACCCGCGCTCTCTCTCTCATAAAAATAAACTCCTTCTGGCTAGGAGACTCTGGATGAGATCCCCTCCCTTCCAGCCAAGAAAAAAAATTAAAAGAAATTTTAAAAGATCTCCTCCATGACATTTATTTGAACGTCAGCAGTGCCGAAGCATGGGCCAATTTACCAAAGTCCAAATGGAGCTACGCGCCACTAAACCTCAAAATCTCAGCCTGAAGACCCTCCGTTTAAGCCTCTGGGCTGTTACTGAGCTGATTTATGTCACCAGGCAGGAAATGGGGGCCCGGGCTGTCTCCCAAGCCTCTGGGGCTGGTCCTGGGGAAGGCCAGGAACTGGCAGAGGCCTGGCAGTGACCAAAATAGCCAGGCGGGTGGCCTGCCGAGCACACACCTCCCTCTGGGTGCCCAGGAAGGTGGCCCACAGGTCCTCTCTCCAGTCCAGGCTATAGCTTTGGGGCTGTGGATTCTCTCTGGCTTCCCTATTGGGAGCCGTAGAACCTCCTGCCCCAAAGAGGAACCTCTAGAAGGAAGGGAAAAAGTCAAGAGGAGTGTCTTGCTGTCCCTGCCCACGGCCCTCTCGGCCTCCAGCTGTCCCTCAAGACGGCTGGACATTGGCACTGCCACCTGCACGCCACACTCGGGCATTACCCTTGGAGCCAGGCCGCCCTATCACCTCTCCCCACTCAGTGCCTGCCCTGAAGAACCAGCTCCTCTGTTCAGCTCTCTAGAAACCAGAGACACTCCCTCAGGTACAGCAGAGGACACACAAGTGCTGGCAACCAGGGACCCAGAGACACAGCCACACGTGCACAGGCAGGTACTTGAAGACACAGCCACACACACACACACACACACACACACACACACACACACAGGTTCTCACCCACCCTCCCGAGCGCGCGCACACACCCACACGTTCACACAGACACACACCAGGACACACAAGTGCACACGTTAGAAGACACAACCACACTCAGGTATCACAGACACACCAGAACACACACACACACACACACACACACACACAGCCCTGGACACAGAGAATAGCAGACATACATTGGGTCACACAGCGCATGCTGCTGGGGACATGGAGAAACAGCCACCCTCAGAGACACACACACGGGGACGCGGAGATACATACAGACGCCCAGGGAGCCTGAGACACCGACACACACCTGCCGCCCGCACTAGAAGCCGAGCCCTTTCGCCAGGGAAACAATAACAGCCCTGCCAGCAGGTCGAGCAGGCGACCCTCCATCCCTCCCTCGGTGGTGAAAGGGGCGCCAGAATGGGGGGCACGGGGAGGGAGGAGGTAGGGACTAGATGGAGCGTGGGGACCAGGTGGGAGCTCCGCGCGCCCGGCTCCCTCTCCCGCGGGTACCTGGGGCGGCCGCGGCGCTGCACTCCCTTCCACTCGCCAGGGACTGCCCGCCGGCTGGGTCTCTGGCCCGCGGGGTCCGCGCTCCGCGCTCCTCGGTGTGGCCGGGTGTCCGAGCTCGCAGTCCTCAGGGCTCGGCGACGGCAAGCGAGCCGGACTGCGACCAGGGCCCGAAGCTCGGCGCTGGCGGCGGCGCGAAGCAAGCAGTAATTTATAAGCGGCTTCTTCCTGACCTCGCGTGTCTGTTGTCTGAGCAGGCAGCTCTCAGCATCACCCATCCTGCTGGGTGGAAAAATACCAGCTTGGCCGGGCCGGGGGCGGGGCCGGGGGCGGGGTCGGGGCGGGGCCGCGGCGCTCTGCCCCTCCTCACACGCGGACACACACATATGAACAGGCGCGCGCGCACACACACGCACACTCCACACGCGCACGCGCGCCCGGGCTCGGACACACAAAGAGCCTGGGTTCGCCGAGCGCGCGCGTGCACACTGCAGGCGGTGGTCGAACGCTCGGCCAGCCGCTTCCCCCATTGCAGCGCATTTTTCCGGAAACCCTTACTCTACAACCCCTGGTGCCAAGTGGTACAGCCTGTCCTCAGCCCCTTCCTGCCAGGGGAGGCCCCCAACCTCGACTCTGCCGCTCCTCGACTCGGTCCAGCCTCCGCACCCCAGCACTCGCTCATCCACCTGGCTCCTGGGAGGGGCCTGCGTTTCCTCGAGTGGCAAAGGCCAAACCACGCCACTGCGTCCTCCCGGGCGACCATCCAGGTTCTCAGCCTTGATATGCTCCTTCAAGAAATGGACACCGCAGCCTTCCCTTGTTGCCTCCCCCAGGCATGAGGGCGACCTGAGATTGTGATGTGAAGCCCCCGCTGGGTGACCTTGGGGTAGTGTTACTCGGGCTCTCTGTGCCTTGACTTCCTGATCTATAAAATGGAAATAAAAATAGGAGAACTTATCTCCTCTGGGTGCTGTGAAGATCCGGGGTTAACAATGTAAAGCAATCAGAACAGCACCAGGCACTTAAGTGCCAAGCGAGTGTCAGCTACTGCGACTATTTTTAAATGAAAATGGGGAATGTGCCATTATTCTTGTCCTTATTTGCATGAGCTGGTCCGCTGAGACCATTTTCCAAAACCAGGCCCTGGATGAGCATGAGGGGGACGTGCTGTGTGACTTCCAGCAAGGTCTTTTCCCTCTCCAAGCCGTTTTCTTCTCTCTCATTCCCTCTCTGCACTGGGAACTGTGTGCAGAGCTCCGGGATCCTTCCACCTTAGGCTGAGAATAAAGGAAGAAATACCAAATGGGCCCTGCAGACAACCATCCCCCACGTCAGACCTGGCCCAGCTAGAGCCCACTGCCTGGAGGAGCTCGTAATGCGCCCTATTCCTGAGCAGCTGCAGAGATGGACCAGGGATGCTGAATGGAAGAACTCCCGAGATGACACTGCCTTTCCCTGGCTTCCTCTTTGGGGCCCCCTGCTGTCTGGCTCCATTTGGGCCTTCTGGCAGGCTATCCCCACCAGCTCCAGCCTACCCAGACACTGGCCCCTCCTGGCACATGCCCTCCCTTGCCTTCTTCTTGTGCTTTCCCTTCCCTTCTCTCCTGCCCCCAGGTGCCCCTTTCCCCAGGAAGCACCAGGAACCAGCAGTGTCTCCAGCAGCCCCAGGTGGCATCCACTTCCAGTCACCTCAACTCTCTCCTTTGAGTTCAGGGTACCTGCACCCCTTTCATCAGTAAGGAAACCAGAGCTGGAGAGGAGAAGCAATTGAGTCTCCACATTCTCCCCTTCTGATGAAAGTGAGGTTCCTCCAAGAATTGAAGGTGCAGACGCAGTCAGAAACTCCCCAGACTCTGTGCCTGCACCACTGCACACAGTGCAAAGTGGCAGGTCATATAGTGTGTAGTTGGGGTTGGAACCAGGAGGCTTTGACTAAACCACAGGGTTGAAGAGAATGGAAAGGGAAGTGTGTTCCAGGCAGAGGAAGCTGCTATGCAAAGGATCACTGGTGTCCTAGCTGGCTTGGCTCAATGGATAGAGCATTGGCCTGTGGACTGCAGGGTCGTGGGTTCGATTTCAACCAAGGGCATATGCCTGGGTTGCAGACTCAATCCCCAGTAGGGGGCGTGCAGGAGGCAGCCGATCAATGATTCTCTCTCATCATTGATGTTTCTATCTCTCTCTCCCTCTCCCTTCCTCTCTGAATCAATTAAAAAAAAAAAAAAAAGGCCCACTGGCAAGGGTGGTGGTAGCCCTAAACAAAGGTGATGTGAGCCCAGCTAAGTGTGACTGAGTGAACAAGGGCAGTGAGGCCACCGGAGGAATGATGGGAGTGACATGTCCAGGGCTGCAATTTGAAAAAGTCCATTGCATTGATGAACTTCAGGCGGGCCAGTGTAGTGCAGACAGTGTCAGCACAGATCACAGGAGCAAGTATTATCCAACCCTCTATCTTCCTCTGCTAGACCATTAACTCCACCAAGAATGGGCCTTGTTGTTAGTGCCTCTGTTGAGTCCTGGGCCTGCCATGCACTAGGTACTCAACCCATGTTTGTTGCATTTATTTAATTTAACAAACCCTTATATAGATAAGCTACATGTTGGGAACAGTTCAGTGTATTTAAATATGTTAATTTATTCAATCCTCACAATAACCCTACTATTAATCTCCCCATTTTACAGAAAGGAAAACTGAGACACAGAGAAACTCAGTAACTTGCCCAGGGTCACTCAGTGATCACATAATAAAGTTGGAATTCAAACCCAGGCCATCTGGATCCAGAGGGCACACTTTTGTAAAAAAAAATATGTGTTTGTCGAATTTAGAAAGAGACGAAGAAAGGGAAAGAGAGATGTGCCGCCCTAACCAGTTTGGCTCAGTGGATAGGGCGTCAGCCTGTGGACTGAAAGGTCCCAGGTTTGATTCTGGTCAAAGGCATGTACCTTGGTTGCAGGCACATCCCCAGTAGGAGGTGTGCAGGAGGCAGCTGATCGATGTTTCTCTCTCACTGATGTTTCTAACTCTCTATCCCTCTCCCTTCCTCTCTGTAAAAAAATCAATAAAATATATTGAGAGAGAGAGAGGTGCCTTCTCATACCCCCAACACATCCCCTACTGGGGATTGAGTCCATAGCCTGGGCCTGGGCCCTGACCAGTAATCAAACCAGTAACCTCTTGATGCATGGGACAACGCCATGCCAGGGCAGGAGGACACACTTTTAAATGAGGGAATTCCTGGGTTCTCAGTGATTATCAGATAAAAACCCAGCCTCAGAGGGCAGGAGAGAGAGGGGGAGAGGAGCCAGGAAGGGCTACAACCTCAACCCAAGGACAGGATGGTGCATAAGAGGTAGAGGAGGGCAGAGGTGGTGGGAGGAACCATGGAGAAACCCAGGGTGGGGAGGGCTTGGCATGGAGCCAGAGACCCTGTTTCTCTTCTCTTTTCTGCTGCTTCCCGGCTGTGTGACTTGGGCCTGCATGCCTGCTGTCTGTGTCTCAGTTTCCTCATCCATAAGATGGGACAAGAAGTCTTGCCTCATCGAGACACTGTGATGAGAGGTCTCAAACTGGGGGTGGGTGGGGAGAGTGCCTGCACTGAATCCAGCTCCCCATGTGCTCTGTGGCCTCCACTGGCCTTTAAAATACTTGCCATGAATAAAAACTTAGGAAAGTTCATATTTTAATATGTTTTTAATTGATTTTAGAGAGAGAGGAAGGGAGAGAGAGAGATAGAAACATCATTGAGAGAGCAACACCAATCAGCTGCCTCCTGCATGCCCCCTCCACTGAAGATTGAGCCCATGTGCCCGGGCATGTGCCCTGACTGGGAATCAAACCAGTGAACTCCTGGTGCATGGGTCAACGCTTAACCACTGAGCCACATCGGTGGGCAAAGTTCACATTTTAGAAACCTGAATATCTGCTTTCCCTGGAAAAAACGGCAAGATAGAGGCACCTCAGGCCCATTATCTACCTGTCTGCCATCACTTGGAGCTGAGTGGCATCAACCACCCCCTCACATGGAGGTGTGTGTGTGGGGGACATGGGCTCCCCAGATAGCCACAGGCCCCCACTGGTAGTTCCTTCATTTATATCACCTACCTGCCCCCCTGTCCCCTGCAAGGGGCTGAGTTTGAGACCTGTGGTGTACTTTGTGCACCATCCCTGTCCCCTTGCCAGGAGATGGCAGCTGGAAGCTCTAGGAAAAGACTGTGAGCACCAAGGAATCAAAACTGTTGGCAACGAGGAGGGAACTTCAAGGAAATGCAAGCAGTGGTTTCCTCCAGAAGCCACATGCCAGCTGAAGTTCCATTGGGACTACCTCTTCCCGTTTCAACAATGAAAATCAATAGTTGGGGGGAGCTCGCGGAGGGCACGTGAGGAGAGGGGCCAAGCGTCAGGCCTCATTCGGTTTGCAGCCCTGAACTTAAAGGCAGGGAAGGAAATTGTCAAAAGGCAACTTGATGAAGTTGTGTGTTTTTTTTAGCTGCTGGCAATAATAAAATAAAATTGATCTAGAACTTGAAACAAAACCCTTTGTCCCTTGCACAGAATAGTGTGTCTCATCTTTTAGGTGACCAGCAAGGGTTGTTGAAATGCCAGCAGGAGGTCCTCTCAGAAGGTCATTTCCTAAGGAGGCAAAGTGAGAAAGCTGCTGAGTGGTCCCTGTCCTGGTTACTTTCTCTTGGGCACACTCATGTGTCCTCATCTCTGCAGGTAGACAGACAGATGGTTGTGTTGTAGGTGGGGAGGGGGGTGGGGAACAGTGCCGGGTGTTAGATCCATGGAGTCAGACAGGACCTGGGTTCAGCAACCTCAGTACTTGAGTTCTGGCTATGAAAGAATTCAGAACCAAGACTCAACTATAAGAGAACATTTATTTGTAAAAATCACAGAGGTGGAAGAAGTAATTCATAGAAGAGATGGGCTTAGGAAACAAGTTATGAGATAAAGGAAGGGCCCTTGGAGCTTGGGAGTGAGGAAGGCAATGGTAATGCGCCTAGGGGAGGGGGAGAGGGAGCGGGGAGAGCAGAGGGAAAGGCTTGGGCAGGCTTGGTCCCAGGAGGGAGATCTCCCTGGGTCTGCCTTCCTAAGGGTTTTTTGGTGGTTGTTGTTAATCCTCATCCAAGGATGTTTTTTCCATTGATTTTGAGAGAGAGAGTGGAAGGTAGGGAGTGGCAGAGAGAGAGAGAGAGAGAGAGAGAGAGAGAGAGACAGACAGACAGACATTGATGTGAGAAAGACACATCAATTAGTTGCCTCCTACAGGGGCTGG